ATGTGAGAYTGGGGGGCAAGGGTGGCAAGGGGCAGGAAGCACTTCCTTCTAATGAGAAAGAACAGCCAACAAAAATACATATGTATGTGCTGGAGGAGGTAGTCTGTGTGAACCTTATGCAGTTCATCAAGACCAAGTATAAGGTCCTGTATGGGTTATTCCCATCACAGATGCAGGCTGGATGGAGAACAGATTGACAGCAACCCTGAAGAGAACCAGGTATTGATAAAAAACTGAGTTGGAGCTAGCAATGTTCACTTGCAGCCCTGAAAGCTGATCRCATCCTGTGCTGCATCAAAAGAAATGTGGCTGGCAGGTCAAGGGAGGTGATTTGCCCCTTCCAGCCCACCTGGAGTACTGTGTTCTGTTCTGGGGACCCAATATCAGAAGAATGTGGACCTGCTGGAGCAAATCCAGAGGAGACCACATGTGGTGGTGTTCTGAAGGCTGAAGCCCCTCTGCTCTGGAGCCAGGCTAGGAGAGCTGGGGGTGTTCTCCTGGAGAAGAGAAAGCTCCAGGGAAACCTCAGAGCTCCTTCCAGTGCCTAAAAGGGCTCCAAGAGAGGGAGACTGACTTTGTACAGATAGTGGTACTTTGGGCAGATAGTGGTAGGACAAAGGCGAATGGCTTCATACTGATGTAGGGCAGTATTAGATCRGATATTGGAAATAAATTCTTCCCTATGAGGGTRGTGAGGTACTGAACCATAGCATCATGGAATATCCTGAGCTGGAATGGACCCACAAAGACCGTCAAGTCAACTCCTGGCTCTGCACAGACACCTCAAAATCCCACCCTATACCTGAGTGTGTTGTCTAAACTCTTCTTGAGCTCTGGCAGCCTWGAGGCTGTGGCCATTCCCTGGGGAGCTTGTTCAGTGCCTGACCATCCACTGGGGGAAGAACATAATATCCAACCACTGGAACAGGTTGCCCTGAGAGAAGCTGTGGCTGCCCCATCTGTGTCAGTGTTCAGGGCCAGGCTGGATGAGGCTTRGAGCCAACCTGGTCTAATGGAAGCTGTCCTAGCCCATGATAGGGGCTGAAACAAGACAAGATTTAAGGTCCCTTTCGACCCAACCCATTCTGTGATTCTRTGTATTTCACATGTACAATACATACATGGATGTACTATTTGTACCTTGAATGCAACTCATGAATCTAAGTTTTCTTCTTTTGAACCAAGTTCATAACTAGATTCATAAAGCAGTTGGGTAGCTTCACTTTATTAAAAGTTAAATATCTTTAGGATGTTTGAACACTGTTTATATGATGTAAAGAACAGCTTAACTTTTACTTTAAAGATGYTTGTATTAGGAGTAGAGACATATCTTTAAATCTAGACTAAAATGTAAAAACAACCATTCTGATATCATTCTGTAGCTTGTATGGTTCTATCCTATATGATGTGTAACAGCTTCCAGTGCTTGTGTTTTTCATCTTTAGCTGTTTGACTAAACTTGACTACTGGGGGGAGGGGATAAGTAGAGGAGGTAGGGATGGGAACAATTAATTCACTGGTGAGATGCACAACACTTCTGCTTGGGTAGAACACCACCCTTCCACAAGACTGTCAAACCAGATCTGGTGAAGTGAACGAGGTCCATTCATTGATAGCAGAAGTAGCTTTGATGGCAGGGTTAAGGAAAATGTCCTGTCCTGGTGTTCATGAAGTGTCTGTTCATATCTTTACCAGCATCACTTCTCCCCAGATGAAGCCAGGTCTGAAGTTCAGTGTGTGTCAGGTGCCATCATTCTGCTTGTTTTAGCAGTCTTGTGCTGGAGCTCCCAGCTCTGTCAGGGGTTAATGTCATGCTGGGGCTTTCTCTGCCTGCTACCTGCTGCACATGCAGGGGCAGGACAACAGGCCATGGCTTCAGACTGGAAGAGAGTAGGTTTAGATTTTATATTAGGAACACCTTCTTCCCTGTGAGGGTAGTGAAGCTCTGRCACAGGTTGCCCAGAGCAATTGTGGCTCCTTATCCCTGGAAGTGTTCAAGGCCAGGTTGGACGGGGCTTGGAGCATGATGAAGGTGGAACRAGATGAACTTTAATGTCCCTTYCAACCYAAACAATCCTGTGATTYTGTGGTCTCTGAAATATTTCCYTTGAGCAAACTTGAGCTCACAAGAGTTACCCTAACATGGTGTCCCTGAAGTATTGACATAACTCACCACATGCACTAACTGTTCTTGGGAACTTTTTAACATCTCAGAGACCCCCAAAAGCAGCTGTACTTTTGTAAAACCTCTCACATTTTTGCATGAAGGTAATAAACCTGGCTGAAATTATAAGTGAAAATAAAAATGTGAATGAAACCGGCTTGTAGTGTTACTGTCTTGGTTTAGAGATCATTTTAGGAGAAAACTCTGGAATGAATGTTTCTTCTAAAAAACAACAACAGAAAAGGTTTCAGCAATCCCTTCCCTCTGCTACAAAATCAATTTTGGGGATGAAAGTGAAAAAACCCTGTTTATTTGACAAACAAGGTGCCCGCACAGGTACAGGTAAAAATGAATAATTGTTAGATATTGAACCTTCAGAACCTTACCCCCACAAACACACACCCAACCCCAGCAGAACAAAAAACCCCAAAATACTTGGGAAACGGAAAAAAAAAATTACTGGGCACGTGATGAGAAGGAACAAAATAGCAGATGGCCTTTTGTCTCAGGGAGGGAGGAAAGTCCACTGAGAGTTCTGAGGGAAAAAACCAGGTGGGAACCTGGTGAACCTCTGATGTTGGTCTCCTCTTCACAGCAGGTGAAGCTGCTGGATTTAGATACTTTCTTTCGTTGGTTCAGCTTCTCCTGAGGTCTGGGTCTGATTCTCAGACTAAACTAACAGTCCAASAAACAGAGTCCGCAGAAAAACGGCTACTGGTGTCCAGGGAAAGAAATTTCTTGCCTAAACTAACAAGAACCAAGCCAGCTTAAGCAACAATTTAACTCCGTCCCAGCTGCCAAGCCTAGGACACCTGAGTGAGCTTTGAACCGCGCCTSCCCTGGTCTGGGCTTAAAGCAGACGATTAGGAATAGAGTATCATCATAAAATCACCCCAAGACAGTTGTCCTTGAGGGAGCCAAAGGTACTGATCACTGTCAGGAATTCTCTACGGTTCTTTGTCAAGCTGTACATCAAACACTTCTATTCATTCCTATCCCCTCTGCCTGGTTTCTGCAGGAGGCTGTGTGTGCACATACTGCTGTTCATGCTCAGTGTGAAGTGACATTTRTCCCACACACAAAGGGGGCAGAGATGGGGAAAACATGGKGGGTGGAGAGGGATGGACCTGGGAAAGAGAWGGKCCTGGAAAGGATAACAGGTGTCTTAAAATGTCCGTTTTTAACTTTCTTCTCCTTGTAAATTTTTTCCCCATCTCTGGTTTTTTTTTTCTCCCTCCCCAGTGCCGTAGTATTCTTAGTAGTTTGTAGTAATAAATCTATTTTGCAACTTAAGTTATTCAGCCTGTCTGACTATTCTCTGGAGCACACACATAKCTTTCTCTCAATTACRTTATGTTATCTRAAAGCCATAAATTTTCCTGTTRATTGGGCTTTYGTTCTCCCTTCTSCCTCTCCGGTGGGGGGAAGGGAGGGAAGGTCATGGGTGCAGTGCTTTTGGTTTTCAGCACAGTCTAAACCACCACATTTTCTGGTGCATTGGCCRGGAAACGAAATAAAAAAAATCAGGTTTTTAAACCCACGACAGTCCTGCACCGGCGGAAGGCTCCCAGGTCTGGTTGGCTGTGATACAGGCACCGTGGCTTGTTTTACAACACAACATATGTAACACAGTGCTTCTGACCTTCTGATTGCTGCTAAATAACTGTCTTTTAAACTGAAGTCATGTTTTGTCTATACGTCTCCTGCAAGCTGCTGAGTTTGAAGACACTGCACATATGTTGCAGAACAGTATTCACTGTGATAGATTACACTGATGATAGGAAAAATTGGTTATGGTTAAATGAAAGCAAATTGCAAGATCTAAACCATGAAATGCAGAGAGAAAACACAAGCTGAATGCATYACAAAATAAGGGTGTCGTCTTAGAAAAAGATACACATCATGGTGAGCTGTGTAAAATCATATTGTGTGTAGGGCATACCAATAACCCATAATGGAGGATTTTTGTAAGATAATTCTGGCCAATTCCAGCATATTAAAAATACAAGAAGACAGTACAAGTGATGAGGAGTTGGGGAACCAAACCTACAGATCTGAGCTGGGCAGCAGGGTTTGTATAATCTAGAGCAGTGGTTTTCAGCTTTTTTTGTTCTATTTGCAAATATAATGATTTTTTTTTCCATGTTTGGAGTTGCAGAATGAATACAGAGCTTTTAAAAGCCAATATATAGTAGGAATTCTCTTCAAAGTGTTTTCTGCGGGCCCTTAAAAAAGCAGCTTATGAATCACAGGTGTAAATTACAGGTCTATAGATGAGAAGTTTGAGGAAAGGAGAAAAATTAAGTCTGAGATGGCTTAAGAGAAAAAAAAATGAAAAACTCTTCCCTGCATCCTGTATGGTGTGAGACTAGAWCAGTGAACTTAAGCAACAAGGATAGTGAATTATTTTACTACTTTGTGTGGGAATACGTTATGAGGAATAGGCTTGAACACATCAAATATAAAACCTTGGACTGCTTTGCTTCATGTGCTGTATCCCAAAGTAAAAGATTTCAGCTGTGTAGCTGCCAGATAAAAAAATATTGTTTATACCTTGTGTGTATTGTSATCTCTTAGCTGCCAGATTCTCATTCTTGTTTTTCCCTTGTCTGTTCATGGCAAGTTTTTTACCATGCCATGCACTTACAGAACATGATACCAGCTGTATGTTTTGGTGGTGTTCCAGATCAGTGTATCAGCAKTTGCAGGAGTCATGCAGAGGTGATCTGGGCTTGATAAAAGGTGTCTGATAACAAAATACCTGTGGCTATAACCAGGACATGCTCAGGATGGGTGTGCACCCATGTATAAGTAAAATGTACTTTTGTTTTTCCAGCTACAAGAAGAAAGATGCAGATTTGTCTGTGGCTCAGGGTCGCATCAAGGATCTGGAAGTTCTCTTCCAYAGAAGTGAAGCAGAACTCAATACTGTCCTGAATGAGAAGCGCAGTCTGGAAGCAGAGGTGGCTGATCTGCGTGCCCAGCTTGCTAAGGTATGATAGGGAATGTTCTCTTCCTTCAGCACAAGACAGGCTCTTGTCCCATCTTGGTCCCATCCCCCAACCACCAAAAATCGGACCAAGTAAAACCATGACAGCTATGTAGTGTAAATCTCCTGTTTTCTTTGCAGTTAGTTTATRGTCTGAACATCAGTGACCCACCTCACTTACTTCTGAGCCTTTATATGCCTCTCTTGAATGCAAAGCTAAATTGTAAGAAATCTATGTAAAACAACCAAAGCAACACAGTGTTTCAGACATTTTGCTTGTCAGAAGCTTTTATTTAAAAATTTCTGATGTTTCCATATTCATGGGATGTTGSGTTATTAAATGTTGTCCTTTGTGAGGTCCTGCATAATTTTACACTTGTTCTGGAGTAAYCAATGGAACCATGCTAGCAAGAAAAAGAAGGTGCAGCATTTTGTGCTGAGAAATTAATAATCCTTGATTCCTGTATTAGAATGTATTGAACTAATCCTACATTTTAAATAGCTGGTATGCAAACATGAAAGCTTGGTTTAAATATCAACACACACATACACACGTGCACTTGTTTTGGGTGGGGTTTTTAGGTGTGGGGTTTTTTTTGGGTTTTTTTTTTTTTAATTTTCATGGGGCTTTTATTTTGTTTCTTTCTGGTGGTGGTGTGGGTTGGTTTTCTTTAAATCAGTGGCTTGACATTAGATTTGTTACTGTGGACAACTGGTCCAAAGACGTCAGATGAAGACCATAAAAGGTTTATGGATGGAAGATAGGAATCCAGACAAAATTATGTTTAAAATTCTCTACTAGGCTGAAGATGGTCATGCTGTGGCAAAGAAGCAGTTGGAGAAGGAGACACTCATGCGTGTGGACCTGGAAAATCGATGCCAGAGCTTGCAAGAGGATCTGGATTTCAGGAAGAATGTATTTGAGGAGGTATAATCAACCTAGTAATCTTGCCACTGTCCACAGTTAATGTAGCTTTTAATCAAACTGACTATAAGCAACTGCTAACTAGTCCAGGTAGGGAAAAAAGGTATTATCCTTCCTCTAAATGGATTGAGTAATAAAGTAGTTAAAGGTTTTACACATTTTTATATGGTAAATCAGTTGTGGAGCCAGTATGAGGGACAGGTGGCAAGAATATGGTTCCATGGGCAGGTGAACTCATGGAGCCAGCTGATTGCTATGGGAAAGGGAAAATTGGACCTGGCTGCATGGCTCTGCTTTCTACTTACACCAGCTTTGGTTGCTGGACCTGATTATAACCTGTTTTTATTCACAGGAACAGTATGCAGCTGCTTTGCTTCTTCTGCCTGTTAAGTGAATGGTTCTAGTAAGGAGTAAAATTTTTGTGATAGTGGGAATTGGGAAAGGGAAGCATGACCTCTGTACCAGATACAAAGTGTTGTGTCACTTTATTCCAGCTTTGATGGTTTTATAACCTCATTCAGTGAATGGCTGCTGAGCAGTCACCACATTCATCTCACCTACACTAGGTGTGATGCTTGGCTCACCATGCACCAAACCATKGCAGCCAGATTAATGAGAAAGATAYKTAGGGTTTTTTGGTTGAGTTTCATTTTGACAGCTTAGTGGCTGAGTTATGTTTTRCCACAGAATCCAAATTAGTGCTCAGACTGGTTTAAGGGATGGGGCAGGGCTCCATCAGTGGCTAACAACAGGGGACAGAGGCTGGAGTAGGGCAAAGAAACCAACCATGAAGATCACYCTGAGGTGTACTGACCATTGTCTCACTTCCATGCCATGGAGTGGTTGGATTGGTGCWATGACTGCAGTGACAGACCCTTGTTTGGTTGTAGGACCTTAAAATAACTTTTCTTCTTGGGGAGAATGTGTTGCTACTGACTGAAAGTGAAGTTTATAGAGACAGCAGAAGCTAATCCTAAAGCTTTCTGTGCTCAAGGATCAGTGTTCTTTAGCCATCCCTGGAGCTCTTTGATTCTTGTATGCACCAATTCACCACATGAAGCAATAAAGAAATTTATTTCCTTTGGGTTGGTGAATTGATTTGATTCACTGAAGTGAGGCCTGCTTATTCTAGTGATGTTGAACTGCTGGATAAGCTCAGCCCTTCACCTGATCCTTTTATACCCCTCCAACATTCCTTCAGCCTCTGAGCTGTCATTGACTGTAGTTACTGAGAGGCTGTTGCTTGCTAGTTTTCTTGGTRTAAAAATTAACTACAGAAGGGAAAGCTTCTTCCATATTACTTCAGAGCACACTGCTGCTAGTTAAAGGACATGTTTCTGGGSATCTGTTTTTAGATGTAGAGTATTTCTGCAAAACAGCTAGTAAAGTTGTTTTGAATTTGTATTAGCCTGCTATGGCTCCAGTCTAGCAAAACTGAGCCTTGCTTCACTTGCTATTGTTCCTTATGGCCCTGCTGCTAACTTCAGGCATCCTCCCAGTACTCAGAACCACTCTTTGGTTGTTTTGTCCTGCCCTGAAGGAAGAAATTGTTTTTCTCATACCACACATTCAGACCTGGCCAGGTCTCTGCATGAATAAGTGCAAGAGTAAGCCTTGTCTTACTAGTTTGAAACCAGTGTATTTTAGGCACAGAAAACTCATACATTTCTGAAAATAAAAATTTCTTAGTACGAACTCTGACCATAAAAAATGGCGTCTTCAGGGTTGCTTGGGTTGCTGGTTTGTTAACACCCTAAACAAAATCTAATGAGAAGGGGTCATCAAGTAGAAAATAGATGAGATCAGCATGTGCTTAAGAGTGAGATTTCTCTATAATGCTCACAAAAGGTGTTCATTTTCATCTGGTTCCTTGTAGACCACTRTTAWAATGTCAGGATGTATATTGAGAAGRACAGGGTTTGTAGTGCARCATATGGAATCTCTTTGCTATGTAAAAACAGATACCTTTTTTCACCTTCCTTTCTCCCCATTTTGGCTTTTGTGCCATAAAACAACTCCATACTCCTTAGACAGCATATGGCTATTTTTGAAGCTGGTTTTAAGTTGGATCACCTTTAAGAATTACATCCTGACAAATGAGAATGGTAACTTGAATCTTTTAGTGCATGCTGCAATTCTCAGGCTTAAATGCCTGTTGTACTAAGCTCCTCTATACAAAATAGTACTGCAATAGGTAATTGTTTTCTGAATGTAATTGMTAGTACTGTTTACCTTAGTCTGGGAATTTGTCCCTCTCTTTTTGTGTGTAGGAAATAAGGGAAACAAGAAAACGACATGAGCATCGTTTGATCGAGGTGGACACAAGCCGCCAACAGGAGTATGAATCCAAAATGACCCAGGCTCTGGAGGATCTGCGAAATCAGCATGATGAACAAGTCAAACTCTATAAGATGGAGCTGGAGCAGACCTATCAGGCTAAGGTAACAACTGCTGTCCAACTGCCAGACTGGAAGCTTAGTCTGGGAGATAAAACCACTTCCATCAGCTCTACTGCTCTTAAGGAGATGAGGAACTATAATTTGAGGAAGTTTAGTCTCAGTGTTCAAATGGCTTCCCTGGGACTTGTGTGCAGGTGCATTTGCAGGGAGGTTATAGCCAGAGGTAATAGCAAGCAATAGYTTTAGCCAGGAAAGGTCAGTTTGTGAGAAAACACATTGAGCTGTTGTTGGTCTCTGCAGCAGACACAGTGGGAATAGTGGATGTCATGCAGTAGCTGATTAGACAATGTCTTCTGCTCTAAGGATTCTTACATCAGTAGATCCAGTTTTTCCTCAGAAATGGAGGTGGTAGGGAAGACTTGCAATATGTGTAATACCTTTTACATAAGAACCTGGAGGGGGTGATTGGAGAGCTTGGGAATGGGTGTTTTGCAGKATGGGCTTTTGCATGGATGCAGTGAGCTTGCAAACTAATACAGACACACTGAAGGGGCTTCTTGTGTAAGAGTGCATTGCCACTTTGCTCTTATTGTGGCCTTTSAAGTGTTCTTACTCACGCCAGTACGCTTTTAAATATGTCCAAGCCTGGCCACATTTCAATGATCTAAGTTAGTTCTGAACTGGAAAATTAGAAAATTAGTCATGATCTTTTTGGTGACAGGGAAACTTCAGGCAAAATATCAGACCTTTCTTGAMCAGCTTTGGTCATGAAAACCATGATATATGAGTTAGAATTCATAGAATCATAGAGGGGTTTGGACTGGAAGGGACCTTTGAAGGCCTTTAGTCCAGCCCCCTACCATGAACAGGGGTATCTTAAACTAGACCAGTTTAAGGGACATCTTAAACTAGATCTTAAACTGCAGGTTTCTCAGAGCCCCATCCTGACAAATCTGCCTATTRAAAATACTTGTCAGTAGTTACAGCCACTTCTTGTTCTCTTGTGCTGGAAGAATGATGGTACTAACACTGTTCACCCCCACCCTTCACTGAGACTCCCTCTGAATTCTTTAGGTTGATGACGTGGTTTGAGAAACACTGAGCTACAAATATTTAACTATTACTTMTGGCAGCAACACTATAGATAATAGATACTAGAAAACCAAAATTAAGTACAGTTGGCAGTGTTGGAWTTATTCACAGAACTCCAGAACATGTAATATTTTATACAATGAGCCTTTTTGATTGACTTGTCACAGTCTGAAGGACAGCCAGGATAGAAGATGATTAGTAGAAAAAAAAWTTWWAAAAARGCTGCRATATACAGACTTAGAGAATGAAAAAGTGATAGGCTTTGGTTCAGTGAAGGGTCCAAATTTCCATTAGAATTGAGATATCRTGAGTGTGGCAAGTGAGGCCTGCTTATTGTAGTGTTGTTGAGGGTCATAGGCTTTGAACAGAAAAATGAACAAATTAAGCTGGTTTTTTCCTGCATAAAAGAAGGTTGTTATGGATGAAATTGGAATGTGAAGGGAAAGGGGTCTGGCTGTGAACTTCATTCTGTGATTTCCCAACAAAGATGTGTCCCTGTTAGAGAGCCAAAGCTGGGGAGGAATATGATGTCAAAGCAAATCATGAGGTTTAGCTACTGAGCAGCTCCAGGATGAGACAGTCTCAGGTAAAAACTGACTTCTTGCACAGGACAGATGTGGAGCTGCTGGAGAAAGTCCAGAGAAGGCCACAAAAGTCATCTGAAGACTGGAGCACTTCTGTTATGGGGAGAGCTGAGAGAGCTGGGGTGTTCAGCCTGGACAGGAGAACTCTCCAGGGAGAGCTTCTCATCACTTTTGAATACTTAAAAGAGGGCTTATAAGAAAGATCATCATAATCTGTGATAATAAGGAATAGAAATTCTAAATATGAGTATTTGTCACCRTGCCAGCATGACTTTAAGGTAGTGAATGATTGTCAGACTTCAAATATTTTCTAATTTTAAACTTTACAAGAAGTAATGGAGTGTGTAGTTGAAGTTCCTTCAAAATCTGTAGCCTAAAGAAGGCTCTGTACATGCTCAGAACCTAGTGAACAGCAGAGTAATGAAGACTGATTTTATAAAATTTTATGCTGTGTGACTAAAGAACATCTGCCTGTAACAGTTATTAGGAAGTCAGTTTATTTTTTGGGTGGATTCCATGGTGTGGCAGAATTGTTGAAGTCCAGTTGCAAGCCATTCAAAGGATGCTTTTTCTAACTCTCTKCTTTCATGAAACTTACTGTGTAACAGCTTTCAGCTCTGTTTTTTMTCTCTCTGTTTTGGTTAAAATTAACCACTAGAAATGTCGCTTGTTCACTAGGTGAATTTAACAAAAATTTTTTAAAAATTGTATATTGGCAGCTATTAGGGAAAGAGAATAAAACCAAACCCATTGTTTTGCCTCTGGGACAGGATGTCATCTGGAGTGCCATGGGTAGTTTTGATCCTTCTTGTAATGGTGCTACTAAGTGATACAGAGCAGACTGACAAAGGCAATTTAAAATGTGAAACAGGTCATGCATGAGAAAATTTTAAATAAAACTTCACCTGGAAGAGATGCATTGAGAGAAGTGGAAGATAGAGTGGGTGTCTGTAAAAGGATGAATAAATAGCATGGGGGAAGGTGAATGAGGAGGGGTTGTTGGGATATGGAACAGCTTGTGTGATTGACAGGGAGCCTGTGATGTGTGTCAGGCTGTGATTGGRTAAACAGCCTRTGGACACCACCCAAACCAGAGATGTGATTGGATRAGAAGCCTCATGGGCGGTGGCCCCACGGATCAAACAGCCAATGGGTGTTCAGCCCGGGAAGTTTGGGGTATAAAGGARCACAGCTTTTGAAAATAAATGGAGAWGTAGGATTTCTTTGAACCAACAAGAAGTCTGTGTCCTSTGTTCCACCATTGTCACRAATGSCTGTCCCACATTGGGATATACAAGGCAGGAATGCATAAAAGGATACACATGCCACAATTGTTTACTATTCTTTCATTAGGAGCAGGCACAGTGAATATCCTGTGGCAGATTGAGAAGAAACAAAAAGGATTGTTCTRCGTTAATATAGGGCTAAACTCTTTGCCCCAAAAATTCAAAAAGCAAAAACAAATTCCTGCCTGAAAAATCTACTAAGAGATAGTAAAGCAGCAAAATAYTGTCCGTGACTTAGGAGGTTCCTGAGTTGCAAATGGCCAGCAGAGACATAATACCTGTGGAATATTTTATTGTGGTAGTCTCTGGGCATCCAGGAAGCAGTTGGACCAGGACATGAATTAGGTAGGCAGCCTTTGCTGTCACCCAGTGTGATTTGCCTTAGGACAAACAGGCAGAGCACATGGTCAGTTTTTTGGAAACTAAGGTTGCTTGTATAATGGAAGGGCTAATAGAATATTTTTTAACAGCATAAGCAAATCCTATAGGAATACATCTGAAATAGATTTTCCTGGTCCTTAGGACATTCCTTAATGTTATGTACTTCTTAGGCTAAACTTACTAGACCATTTATTTTTTTTTTAAAATTAAATAGATTTTTTTACCAAAAGGATATTGCAGGATTTCTACCTCAGTACAAGTGAGCTGTATAAAATTTTCTTTGCAGCTGGAGAACGCCAAATTGTCCTCTGACCAAAATGACAAAGCTGCTGGTGCAGCTCGAGAGGAGCTGAAGGAGGCTCGCATGAGGATAGAAGCTCTCAGCTACCAGCTTTCTGGTCTTCAGAAACAGGTAAAGGGACTGAATATGYTTTCATCTCAAACACACAGCTGTGTCATGTGAATGTATTAACATTTGTGACCCTTCATATTCTCTGAATTTTACATAGAGAAATCTCGGTTGTGTTCATGTGAGAGGGAGAGGGGTTTTATCTTTTTGAGACCAGCATGGTTGCCAAGTGGGCTTTCCCTTGTGCTTGTCCCTAGGCCAGTGCAGCAGAAGATCGCATTCGGGAATTGGAGGAGATGATGGCTGGWGAGCGGGAGAAGTTTAGGAAGATGCTGGATGCAAAGGAGAGGGAGATGACAGACATGAGGGACCAGATGCAGCTTCAGCTTACCGAGTACCAAGAGCTGCTTGATGTTAAATTAGCACTCGACATGGAGATCAGTGCTTACCGAAAACTCCTGGAAGGAGAAGAGGAAAGGTACGTACAGATTCCACTTTCTTTTCCTAGGACTCACAAGTTTTATTTTCATTTCTTACACTAATTTTTTTACCACTTGAGGAGGAATGCCCAGATTTCTTTTCACTGAAGTTATATTGGCTTCACACCACAATGTCTTGCATGGAACATTTRTTCTCATCTGAACACTGTCTTTATTTTGGGATTTTATAATGGTCTCAGAGTACAGTGGTATATCTCATATTGTGCTTAGTCTTCATGTCATCTTTTTACTTGTGCTTGTACTTTCGTGATTTGTTATTATGTGGCCTGAGAATAGAGTGTTTAGTAGTAGCTGTGCTGGAGGGAGGGTTAAGTGATGTGTGTTGTTTTCTGTAGCACTGCTTTCCWTGTCACATGGTCATACTGACAGAACATTCCTCAGGGATGGATAGCCCTCTCTTCATGTGTGCAGCCCTCTTGACATACAGAGTGAAGCTACTGTCASCCTCAGAGCACATTGAAGTCTGGTTACTTGAGGATATTGTAGATTTGTCTGTGGTTCTCTGGGTGACTTAACTAAAATGCTTTCTTGGTTGTGTTAAGGTTGAAGCTCTCTCCAAGCCCCTCCTCCCGTGTCACAGTCTCTCGGGCTACCTCCAGCAGCAGCAGCAGCAGCACTTCACTCGTTCGCACTTCCCGAGGCAAGAGAAAACGAATTGAAGCAGAGGAGCTTTCTGGCAGTGGAACAAGTGGCATTGGCACTGGSAGTATCAGTGGCAGCAGCAGTAGCAGTAGCTTTCAAATGTCCCAGCAAGCTTCAGCTACAGGAAGTATCAGCATAGAAGAGTTAGACTTGGAGGGCAAATATGTTCAGCTGAAGAACAACTCGGAGAAGGTGAGCATCAGCAGAACTCTTAGAAAACAAGGAGGAGCTAAATTGAGATGTWACACAGCCCTTTGCAGCATGAGCAGGAGCAGCATCTCAGGGTGCAGCATCCTGCAGGAATTAACAGGGGCTTTGAAAAGTTGAACATAATGGTGGGCTAACATAGGTCTAATGTTTGCTGCAGGAAGAGAACACAGTTTGTGTCCCAAATGTGCTGGGACATTGCTCACAGATACAACCTGCTATCTAGCAGCAGTTTGTTGTGTGAAACGCATGTTTTTAAAATTTGGCTGAATTACCTCATGGGATTTACACTTTTAGACTCTAATTGGATGTAGGAAAATACTTTCAAAGTAGAATGGAAATGTCTAATAACCATATAAATAAATTTATCTTCCTATTATTTTAATAACAAAGACCTAGACTCTGATGCCTGTTATGCYTGTTTGTTCTGTTTTGTTCACTCTGAATAACTTCCTCTCCATTAGGATCAGTCTTTGGGTAACTGGAGACTGAAAAGACAAATTGGAGATGGAGAAGAAATTGCRTACAAATTTACTCCTAAGTATGTCCTCAGAGCTGGGCAGACTGTTACAGTAAGTTGTATTTACAGTATGTCAACAACATATTCTTCTGTTGATGATGTGGCAATTGTAAATCTTGAAGTTTGGTACAGCCTGATTTAGTTGTCTAACTTTTGGTTTCATGGATCTCATTTTAGAAGAGCAGGATTTCAGTTATAAAAATGCAGAACAAAAATCGAATTTCTATCTTAGTATTTCTATGTTTAAGGCCATTTTTTTGGGCACAGAGGAAGTTGAAGAAAAAGGTATTTTAGGGGATGAGTCAAGGACTATTTGTTTTCCAACACCTTTACAGGTTTGGAAACCGAATCTTGTTCAACCTCTTAAAGAAATGGGAACAGTTCAGAGTCTTCATTCAGACTTGTAGACTGTAGTTAACACTAGACATTCTCAGTCTTGACTGTAGCTGATTTTCGAAAATTTTGCATTTTATTTTCAGTCTGCAACAGATGTTCTTTAAGAAGAACAAATTTATTTATTTTAATCACTTGCAGCTATTTCTACTTAGGTATCAATTGTTCAGATTTGTATGTGAAAGGTCAAGTTGATGCACTACATGCTACTTTTTGCCTTGACTCCATACAGTATAGTCATTGAGACAGTGGTAGAAGAAATTTATTCAGAAAAGAATTGATGATTGCAATATTAGATTTTTTTAATACCTTACTACAAGTAATAGTKTAGTTAAAAGTAGGATAGAACTGCTATTGGAATGCAGAAAAGAAATCTGGCATGTAGAGAGAAGTGGGAAAATTAGGAGGACATGTATATTTAAAAGRAAAAATTGCATAAACACCTAATTACAGATTGTTGTCCTCACTAGATCTGGGGTGCAGATGCAGGCGTGTCTCAYAGTCCCCCTTCTGTTCTGGTGTGGAAGAATCAAGGCAGCTGGGGCACTGGAGGAAACATCCGTACTTACCTCGTGAACTCTGAAGGAGAGGTAAGCTGTGGCCATGGGCTGGGTTATCTCCCAAACTCTGACTTGAGGGTGGGCTGGCATGACACAGTGGCAAAATCCTGATTGTAAGATCTCCCCTGTTGTCTTCTAATATAAGRCAGTTTATACTAATACTGAAATTATTAAATATCTATACATACCTCTGACATTTTTTTTATATTTTTGAAAGCTGTGATCATGTAATTAGGCCCACAGACACATTTTTCCTATTTTAGAAGAATACCCTGCTAGTAGGGAATTTGTTTGAAATTTGAGTATGTACTTTCAGAAGAGACAGAAGAAAAGAAGCATTTCTGGCAATTCAAAGTTCCATTATATAGTCCCTATGATGTTCTGAGGTGCAATGTAAATATTAATGTAGGAAGATAACTATCCATGTTGGAAGCATATTGTAAGTTCTCATTTGGCAAAGGTTCTTGAGCATTCTGCATTGTCCTACATCTGCCCACAGTTAATTTTTTTAAAASTATCCCTGCAGATGACTTTTGCAAGGGAGAATCATGCCTTGGCTGTTACTCATAACCATGCTGTTATCCCAGTGATCTGATAGCAATAGGAAAGGGACCACAGTTGTATCAGTTTTTGTGCTGCCTTTCTTGCTGGCATTATTCTGGAAGAACTTTGTACAGGATGAGGTAGGAGGGGAGTAATTAGTATAAATAGAAGGCTAACACACTCAGTATTCAAACTGTGTGATCAAACTAGTATCTGAAAAGAATTCAAATCCATGTCTGTTTTCTCTGTTGTTTAGTGGCCCTGCTTAGAAGTGTATGTTAAGGGCAACTTTTTCCACAACTAGATATTTTCACCTGTGATTTCCATGGAAGTAGGCAGAAGAGTTTCTTACTATTTAGAAGTGTTAAAATTAATTTAGTAAAAAAGGAAGCTTCCTGGGGTTTTAAAATTCTCTTGTAAGACCATGCTGACAACCAACATATGCAATTGATATTGAATRTTTATCAGAAATTAGGAATATTCTTAATGTTGTGTAATCATGATGAGAAAGTCTAGTTTCTCACAGTACACTGTGTCTCAGACAACTCCTACCTGGGTCTGCTGTGACAGATTTGTGTAAAATCTATTGACTGTTGACTTGTCTGCTTCCTCTTAAATCCCAGGGTAATGAAAAATATTCCAGYGTCTGAATTACATTACCATACCTTTTAGTGCAGAGAAATAGGAATCATGTTGTGCTTTGCAGGATACTACCAGTATTGCATGCATAGCTAGTGTTAAATCTAGGTCAAGTTGCTTTAAACTGTCCAAAATTTAATTAGGATATTATATTGATGGTATAGCAAAACCTTAAGGGATAGTTAAAGACTCTTATCTGTCATTTTGTGAAGGAAGTTGCAGTGAGAAGCGTTACTAAATCAGTAGTCGTGCGAGAGAATGAAGAGGAAGAAGATGAAGCAGAATATGGAGAGGAAGACCTTTTCAACCAGCAGGTAATCAGATGCAGACCAGATGTTTAACTTGTGCCTCATTGGTTGGATCAATCAGGCATAAGATTTAGAGGGGATCCCCTTCARCTTTGTCAGCTCTCTGAGCTTCCTGGTCTTTTCTTCCAATGACTGCTTGCAACATCACAGCAGCACTGCAGTGCACAGAGAGGACAATGTGAGTGSTGCTGCCAGGAATTACTGCTGGATCCATCCTGGTACAGCTCAGGCAGTGGCTGATACCAGCTCAGGGTRTCTGTGCTATAAATCACACACTTGCAGCATTAGCAGGCAGTGTTCCTCCTGTTCAGTATCTGCTGCTCTGTACAACAGAGCTGGGGCATTGTTGCTGGAAACAGAGTATTACCAGGTAACCACTGAAAACCAGCAACGGGGGTGCTTCCCTTGCTGCAAGCTTCARCTTTGTTTTCTGATAGAATATACCTTCTACACCKGAATAAACTTGKKTTTTTTTCYTAATAATACCATATGTTTGTTTTGATAACCCTTAGTTTAATAATGTGAAATGAGCAACCAGCAGCTGACAGAGCAAAGACAGGAGAAAGATATAGGTAATACCAGAAAATACTTTAAATTTGAAACTCAGGTSATTTGCTCCTCTAACTGATGGCCATTAGTAGCTCTTTTCACAAAGAACCCATTCCATGCAGGTTTGCAGGTGAGTTYTCAAGTCTTTTTTGGTCCCAAAGAGATTGAGCAGTGTATTTGYAGTATAAAGCAACTGATTTTTCTTACCCAAAAAAGCATCTACACAGCAGAGATCTCTCTCAAATGGAATCAGTATTTGAAATAAAGGAACATGTTGGTCTGGAGCTAATGACATCACAATTTTCATTTGTCATCTGTATCACTGTTGGAAATATGGAGACCAACCAGTCAACCCATCATAGGAAACCACAACCAGAGGAGCAATGTGTCAGTCCTGGCAGTGGACTGGGGCACGTGCTSTGCTTAGTCTAGAGTAGTGATGTTCTCTTAATATAACTAAACTAAAAAAGTGCTTTTGACAACTGAGAAGATAACCAGAGTCTAGAGTTGTAATCTGAATGACTGGTAAGAATTGAATTAAACTCTGTCAATTTTATTTTAGGGGGATCCCAGAACAACCTCTCGAGGATGCTCAGTGATGTGAAAAAAGAAGAAACTATTATTTGCGCTTTTCTCCCTTCATTTATTTCCTTTTATTTTTTGCTATTTTTTCCTTCCAGAGCCACTGAAAACTATTTTTATATGCATCATCTGATTTCTTTGAAGTTTAGTCCTTAGTACATTTTTATAAAAAAAAAAATTTAAAAAAACTTCACTGAACAAAACTGCCAGAATTTTTAATAGATTTCTTTATTTTTCCCTCTTCGTTGAAACACTATATTGGAATACAATATTTTTCCCCATACAGAGTTTAAAGTCTTATGTAGAATCCTAAAGCAGAAAAGAGATTTTTAGCAAAAAWGAGATGAGATTCCTTGAGTGTATGGTAAATCTGTAATTACATATATAACAAGTATAATACCCCTAGAAAAGGAGTTTAATGAAGTGTGTTCATCTGCAGGGCCCTGGGAGAGATTCACAGAGTTTCCTCCACAATTGCAGAAATGCTAGTATTTTGCTTGGTATCCTCAGCAATTCCCAGCTTAGGAAAATCAGACCCCAGATTYATTCAAAGTGCTGCTCCACAATTGCAGTGAACACAGGGAAGTTTCATTTCAGCCATTTTTGACTCAGGACCATGCCATCGTGTCCTTCTCCAGGGTTTGACAGCCTAATGGTGAAAACATCTGGGTCTGTCACTTCATGTCATCATTTCAGAAGGTGGAGGATGGTGGGTTCTGCATCCTGAATATACACTGTCCTAAGTGTCAAACCCAGAGTTTAAACTGTTTGTTTTTTAGAGATTTTGCCATTTTCACAAGTTAAATCATGGACACAAATTGTGATATTCAGTATTTGTGACTTAATGTTTTTGAGATATTCAGCTTTAAAGAGATTTGATTAAGATTTTTACTTCTGGCAAGGATAAATATTGGGGATTTTAAAGGTTATCCCAGGTAAATGTTGACTTTTTTWAACAACTAGATACAATTTGTTCATACTTCTCTTACATTCAAATGGGTGATGTTGGGTATCCCAAGGAGCAATTTTTGCAAAATAGAGCAGAAATAGTTTAATGGCTTTTAAACATTCGAAGGAACTGCTGTGTTAAGGATAGAAGTGACACAGTGTTCACGTTCTGGAGGCAAAGTCTAAGGAGYGAAGGGAAAATAATGTTTTTTGTAAAAAATGCATTGTATGGGTAGCAGGTAATTTTTATTTTAATAGGATACATTTTTTATCTGACAGTGTCCATTTAGCTTAAAGTTTTGGCTGCTGCATTTCTCTGGAGATAATTCTGAGGCCCATAAGGATTAATGTTCATACAGTGGTGCAGCTTCAAACACGAGGCAAAATACTTGACTGCTCCAAAGAATGCAGATGTTCTTTCAGCTACTTATTAGTTTGGATACAAAATCTGGATACCATAGAATCCTGTTTTTACCTGCACTCTTGAACTCTGATCTTGTCATTCAAATAGTTTACTCATCAGACAAGTGACAAGGTTTGGATGTTTTCGGTGGCTTTTGGACATTATGTTCTCTGAACAATATTGTGACTGACAGATATAACCTAGAAAGTCAGTTTAGTGGCTCTGACTGATGGCTTTGTTGTGCAAGCAGGGTGGGAACAAAAGGGGCTTTAAGCTTCATGATTTATTTTGCCATTTAAAAATAAATCAGAGATGCTACTTTGAGTGGGATGACTGAGTTGCTGAAGTTAWGCTAATAGACATTTAGAATCATGTTTTATTCCACTATCAGAAGAYCCATGACAAAAAAACGGGGTGGAGATTTTGCTGTTTGGGCTGATGGGATAACTGCATTGATGTACTTGGCCTTCTTTCTAATGTAATTTTCCCACTCTGCTTGAGTAGAAGGTTAAATATGTAGTAAATCATGTCTCTCTGTAAGATATATCTAGTGAAATTATGTTTCTCAGACATACTATTACAATTACCTTTTCTAAATTTTTTGTTATGCAAATTAATGCAATCAATGTAAAGTTATTTTTGCAACACACCTTCCAACCACTGGACACCATTTCCCTTTCTGACCCACAGCTTCTATAATATACTGACATAGTGTTTAAGGGCTTTTTGCTTTTTCCATATCTATATATTTTTTTTACATGGGCCAGTTTTCAGACTGCTTATCCTTTTAAGATTGTCCTGTAAATTTAAGATTATTTTGTGATCTTAAATACTAAAGCAATGAACGTGTAGTTAATTTGCATTTTTCTGTGGTGTTTCACTTTTTGTTTCCTGTAAAGAATGGCCTCAGAAAGGCAGCTAGAATGAAGAAAAACCTCTTGCTACCTGAGCCATAGTTTTCTTAATAGCTACTGTATGGGGAATGTGTCTTGTAGCCTTAAGAACTGGTGCTTGCAGTTCTCTTGTGATGAGCACTGTTYCCTTGAGTAATGGTCTGCAGAATTTGTCCTTAGAATTGGAACTGTGTCCTTTARCTTTGGAAACAGTTTATTTGATTCTTCAGGACTATGTTTAGGTATATACAGGCAAACTAAACCTGTGATTGACACTATGGGAAAAGCCAGCAGTCTGAATGTGGATGATTCTGTTACACAGTGCTTTTTAAGAGGCTACTAAAYGTATGATAAATAACTCCTGGCAGTAAATTACAAGACACACAACTACTGTATTCCATGTACTTTCTTTTTGTGTGTCACCTTCTCCAGCCACCATCCTGGCTTCTTGCTTTTTGATACTGAGCTTCAGTCTAATGGTCCTGTCCTGTGCCAGACTGGGAGCCAGTTTTGTGGCGTTACCAACCCAAAATGCATGATTTCTTTTTTTCTGTCTTTCAAGCATTTCTTTCTATTTTCAGGGTAAAGTTTTTTGTCCAAATAAAATCCAGTGTCTCCTTGCCTCCTTTTTCTCTTTGATCCTGCATATGAACCAGTCTTAAAGAAATTAGAGAATGGGCAGCAGTTCTGCTCCAGTGCTGATACCTAGCATAGMGCTTGAAGGAGAAATAGATTTGATTTGTCTGTAGAAAAATGATTTTAAGGTGTCTCTGACAAGGGAAATGACATCATAATTATCAGAGTAGTTACCTGAGCATTATTATCCATGTGGATATTCTTATTCCAGAAATAAATCTTTATTCTGGATGAATTACTAAAAAGTTTTTCTTATGTGTAGATCATAACAGAATATCATGTAAAATACAATAAATATGCATCCTGCCTCCTCCTAAGCTCATACCACATGAAAATGCTTCTCAGAACAAGTCCATCCATCTGCAGACCTGTCAGGAATGTGATGTCCTGTGGAGTGAGGTGTGGCTTCAGAGTCYCTGGCATTTCATGCCACTTTTTATTGCTTCTGCATTTGTTCCTTTAACTGTTGCATTGCAGTGCCACACTCCAAGGAGTGGAGTGGCTGGGATGCCCTTGTGCCTGCGCATCCATATTTCTTGTGATTCCTTTGTTCCACACAGCTGTATTTYCTGTTTTCCCTTGTTTCTTCACAGCTCTGTTTCCCAGCAGGTCTCCTGATGCCTGCATGGGGTCCAGTTTGGCTCTGACAGGACCCATCATTTGCACTGACAYGTTGCTTACTTGTCTTCAGCTCTGTGTTGCCATTAGATGGGCAGTTGGCAGCATAGTCTGTGTTTGTAGCAGGAACCAAATGCCTCAGGAAGAATATAAATACCTGCTTCCTGTGATATAAAAGCCAGCTGAGCATGTGTGCAAGCTGGTAGCAGTGTGGGAATTGTACTGCAGCGTGAAGCAGAATGTACTGTGAAAGGAGATCACTGTGTGTGGTGTCCATCCTCGCGCAGTGGGACACTTCATCTTCAGTTCAGGGATCTTACTGGGTTTTATACACATTTTTCTCTTTTTTAATGCTCATCTTGTACAAAGGCCCTTTAACTGCAACCTGAACAGAGGTTGGGGGTTGGAAGAGACCTGTAAAAATCCTCTCTACACCCCAGGACCTTGGAGAATCGGTGCATCAGGAAAGTTTTGATGCTGTAGGAAAACATGCATGCTGTMTCTTCTAGATCTCTTGTAGCCACTTCTCTCATGTCTTCACTGTTAAACCATTCTCTCTCTTCTTTTTGTATCTTCTTTTGAAAGTCTTATCTCTAAACAGAGGCCTATCCRTATTTGATCCTGCATTTTATTGACACTGTTGGGTCCAAACCCTGTGTGAGCAAAGCCTTGTGAACCAGTGAGCGGAAGGTGAGATAGTGATTGCATTTTTCAAAGCACTGTTTTAGTTGAATGTCAGGACAAATTATATTGGAGAGATTGTTTTCTCATTTAAAATGGCCTGGGAAACAGAATTTTTATTTGCCCTTCAATATGCTTAGCTTTAAACCAGTTTAAAATTATTTAAAGGTGGTTGTTGTTTTTTTTTATACAAGACCATATTTACATGCAATTATTATTTGTAAACATAATGCCTTTCTTGAAATGCTAAGGTCTAGASTGAAAAAGATGCTTGATATTCAAAGCCTCCATTCAGAATAGCACAAGTAGTGAATTGGAGTTCCAGAAAATGTTTATTGAACTTCCAGATTTTCTAGTTAGCTATTACTGAAGTGACAAGTCTGTGTTGGTAAGGCAGATGTTACTGTATTTTCAGCTACCCAGATCATTATGCTAAAATAACAAGCAATAATTATTTTGGGCAAGTTTAAGCCAAACTGCTTTCCCTTTGGGCACAAAACACAGTTGATCTCTTATTTTCATAGCAGTGATGCCTTGTGACTTGAATTGTGATTTTTATTTTAWATTTTTTAAACAAAATTTTGATTTAGATAGGTCTGGCTCGAGGGCACTGTGGAATGCAGTAGCCACCTCGAGTCAGCTGCTGCAGATAAGTTTTTGAAAGGTTCAAGTTTTTTAAATAGGGATTATGAAAAAGGTTGTAAACAGAAACACAAAGACAAAATTATGAAAATGTTCACTTGAAACTTAGAAATACATCATGACCTAGACTTTATCATTTCAAAATGGTTTGTTTTTTTCTTTTTAGAATATGCATGCCAAATGTCTTGTCTTTTTCAATGATTTGTAATATACATTTTATGACTGGAAACTTTTTGTACAACACACTCGAATAAATGTTTTGCATTTTATTGGTTTCCTTCTGTCTGTTAACCAACACACAGGGCACGTGGGCTGTTTGAGGTGATTCATCTAAGGAGGCCTTTAAGTTTGGGGAGAGGACACAGAGACCTGTTGTATGTGCTCCCAAGAGTGATCACCTGAATCACAGGAGGGATGGCACAATGTGCTCCAGCAGAAGCAAATGAACGCTTTCTTTAAACCTGGTGGAACGTGCTGTCCTCTGAGCAGCACCAACAAAAGCAGGGGGAAGAACATCAGGAGCTGGAGCAGCTAAACATCCCCTTGCTTTCTCATCACCACTGTACTGAAGGGTTTTTTTTTATTTAACCTATTTGATGCTAAATGAGTGCAGATACCAATCCCGGGCAGGGATGGATTCTTAGGGATAGGCAGAAGCATTGCCATGAGCCGATACATTTGCCAATGTGGCTCAGCTTCCAGTCCACTTTCCAGTCCGTACTCATTTTAAATTGTACTTTAAGCGGCTGCCCCATCATTAGCACTAGCTGCTGATGCTTCTGTGAGGTGGAAGGAATGGCTCCTGTTTGAAGTGGGCACATCCAAAGATGGGATGATACGGTTTATAATACTCTGAGTGTGGGCTCCAGCTAGYGAAGATGAGCATAGTTCTGGCTTTAGCTCTGCTGTCATACTCAGTCCCCTCCTCACATGCCACCTCCTTCCTGCACATCACATCTCACCCATGAAAAAGCTCCATAGCATTGTCCTCTCCCATTTGCTTCTACCTCGTACCATAGCATTCTTACTTAATGGAGGTAAGAGTAATAGAATCGAGGCAAACTTTAAGGCATGGGTCTCTCACCCAAGTCACGTAAAGCAGAAGGAAGACTCGAAGGACAGAAAGATGAATTCCAGAGAGAACCCACAGGGAAGTTTCTCTCTGCGGGGATCCCAGTAGAGCCCGTGTTTCACCACAGGGTGCAGCTGGGCAGCGTTTGTGACTCTAGTAACGCCGGTTTAGAGCCCCTTCCCGTTGCCTTAGTTCGTGGGGCTGCTCTGAACCTCGGCACTCGAACTCTGCTGTCTGACGCGGGCCCGGCCCCGGGAGTGCCTTCGGAGCTCGCTCGGGGCCGGCGGTGGCACCAGCGCTCGGTGACACGGGCCAGGAGCCGCCGTGGGACGGGTGTGCCCAGGCTGGCACGGCGCTGACCGGCCCCGCGGAGCGCTCAGTCCCGCCCGGCGCGGAGCAGGAGCAGGAGCAGGAGGAGCAGGAGGCGGAGCAGGAGCAGGAGCAGGAGGAGCAGGAGGCTGAGGCAGCGCGGGGCCCGCCGGGAGCCGCAGTCCCGGGCGCCGCCATTGCTCCCGCCCGCAGCGCAGGGCCCGCCCGCCGCCGTGACTGGACATGGAGAGCGGCTTCGGCTCCGACTTCGGCTCCGGAGGAGGCGGCGGGGGGAAGCTGGACCCGGGACTCATCATGGAGCAGGTGAAGGTGCAGATCGCCGTGGCCAACGCGCAGGAGCTGTTGCAGGTCAGGAGGGGCGGCGGGGCGGGCGGGGGTCCCGGTGCGGGTCCCGGTGCGGGTCTCGGCTGAGGGCCGGGCCGCTCCGCTGCCCTTGTGGCGGGGGCTCCGGCAGCGGCACCGGGCCGTGGTCCCGCTCACGGGCTTTCTCCGCAGCGGATGACGGACAAGTGCTTTCGGAAGTGCATCGGGAAGCCSGGCGGCGCCTTGGACAACTCGGAGCAGGTGAGGACGAGCGGGAGAAGCGGGGCCGGCCCSCAGCTCGGGGCGGCCGCTGAGGCTCTGTGTCCCGCAGAAGTGCATCGCCATGTGCATGGACCGCTACATGGACTCCTGGAACACAGTTTCCCGAGCCTACAATTCTCGGCTGCAGCGGGAGAGAGCCAACATGTGACGSCTGCCGGCCTCCGGGCCCAGAGGGACCATGTGGGGAAGGGATGAGCGGCCAGTCCAGGTGGTCAGTGGGCAATTCTGCTGCCTTCCCAGTCCCTGCCATGGCAGAGCAATAAAACCTCGCTGAACCTTTTGCATCCCTTGGCTTTTATTAGCACCAGCTCCAGGAGAGTGATTTTTTTCCCATGAGCTGGTTTACTTTTTGCCATTCCCAACTGCCAGTCTGGCCCAAGGCATTATATCARTTGATAAATCCCTGCTGACAAGGCTCTGCCAGGCAAGGAGCCTTCTGTGGAAAATGGGCCAAGCCAAGCCAGCAACACCGTGCCCTTGCTTGGGATTCTAGCATGGACCCAATCCATCAGGTAGTTACATTGTCCGTGTTCGTTAGTGGAAGAGCTGCCAGAAGATTCTCCACGTGCCACTTTTACTCTTCAGTCCCTTGTATCGGTGTACACTATGTGGGGCTCTCTTTGGGCTCATARGCTTTGACTCAGCTCAGGCACAGTGCTGGGGAGCAGGACAGCCTCAGAAAYAGTTGTAAGAGCACAGCTGGGGGTRAACAGGGTTGGGAAAGTRCTTCAGTTCATTTCTTTAGAGAATAAAGCGTGTTGTGTGGCTGTGATACTCTGTAGTTTCTGGTTTAGCTCTGGCACAGACATTCCATCTTGGAGCCTACATTCTAAGCATCATTTCTTTCATGGAGGAGCATGTCTGCAGCACAGGGGATGTGGGTCTGCTTTGGGGCACAACTCTACTGTTTTCTGCTTACACCCCACTCCTRATAAGGTGGGTTCATGCTGTGTGGTCAGCAGTGGATACAGCTGCTGGAAGAGGAGAGTGTTGGAGATTAACAGTRCCCATTTAGTGACTTTTTTTCACATCCCTTTTGAAGCTCTTCTGTCTTTTATAAAAGATKTCATGGTTTACTGGATACAGAGACAGACTGGAAGGATGACAGCTCCATACCTGCTAGGACACTCAGAGGGATGTGATAGAACCTAAAGTGTTCTCACAGAAGGTAAACTATGAGGAGGTAATTCAGACTGAAACTGGRATTTTCAGACTGTCAGAATGACTATTTTAAAATAAAGTGTTTTCGGACAYGTTTGCTTAGGGGGCTTTTTACTTTTCTTTATGGCTGTATGAATTTTGTGGCACTGGCTGTGCAGTAGTCCTATTTCATTTGTGGGAGCATCTCACAAGTGTTCCAGCCATGGATCTGAACCCATCTGGACCTGAGCAATGCACAGAAGCCAGGTCTCYCACCTTSTGGTGCTCTGTCTGGAAAGTTGTGSATCTCACTGCCAGCTGGGTTGGGATGGAAGAAACCTTTCCATGTCCARAGGCAGAGCTTAAAGCATCAAAAATGAGGAGGGGGTTTGGGGTATGAGGAGCCATTCAGTTTTAGTGGCTGAATCTATGGGGACATATTTTAAATCTGCTGTGCCCAAGACTCAGCACGTGAGCTCTGCAGCAGTTTTTCTCTTGTGAACAAAATGGTCTATGCTGGCTGGTGAGACCCAACAAGTATACTTGGCGCACAAATTCTCAGCACTTCAAATTTTTCCCACCTAGCTTAACCAGACAGTGGTCTATGTGGCCATGCCTTAATCTTTGTCAGTTTAATCACCTGTTACCTAATGCAAAAGGAGCTGGGGAGGGGATGTGAGAAGCCTGTCCCAGTACTCTAGTACAGTGTGCAGTCTGAACTCCCAAGGTTCAGACTAGGTTCTAGCTCTGCATTCTCTTAGGTTCAAACGGTGAGCCAGGAGCTCATCACTGAGCCCTCTAATACCACGCACAAATTGGAAACAGCATTACACCCTTCCCAAAAGCTACTGCACAACACAACAGCTCCATCCAGACAGTGAGGTGTTGAAGCTTCTGCAAGGGCATAACTTCGGGCTGGTGTAAAGTTCTCAAGTTTCTTGGCTTGGCTTTGTGAAGACAGCTCATAGGCAGAGGTTAGCCAAACTCCATGAATCTTTGGCAGATGTTTCTGGCACCCYTCCAACTAGAAAGGTCATGTTTTAATGCGCAGTGTGTTCAGCCAGGTCTTAAGATGGGACAGGCCTCATTTATTTATAGAAAAAAAACTAGAATTTGTACCTTTCTATGCAAAGCAGTTATCAAATGCCTTGGTGTCACAACCAKGAAGTCACACAACACTGACATCTGTTTAATACCTGCAAGGCCATCTTCACCCCTTTGCAACATCAGAAAAATGTACAATAGCTGAGGGGTAAATGCATCCTCTGTCATGCTCCGGCATCCTCTCATTCATTGCCTTCCCTGAGTGATGAAATGCAGTTTCAGAGCTTGAGGTTCTGGGCAATCCAGCTCTGCACAGCTGTGACTTTGGTGTAGACACCAGGGAAGTATGGCCTGGCACAGCCATAGCCCCAGCTTGTGATTCCTGCTAGAAACCACTTCCCTGAGGGTTCTTTACATGCCAGGGGCCCACCTGCATCGCCCTGCAAAGAGAGGAAAAGGATCCAGTATCAAGCTACAGGCAGTGCAGCTCCCCCACCTGTGAAATATTCTTTCTCTCTGGGGCATGAGCATTTGCTGTCTTGTTCCCCGCCTCTTCAGGAGCCTCATTCCTAGCTGGAGGACTGCTCAGTGATGTACCTGCCCGAACAATCTGAGACTGGGGTTCTGGAACATAGAAGAGTGTGTTTGGAGGTACAGTAGGGTCATGGAACAGGCTCCATAGTATCCCTGTGSCTTTTGCTTAGCATTACCTCTCTGTGTATTTCCCTGACCTGTCACAGGTTGGTGGGGCAAGCTGCATGAGGTGTATGCAGGGTGGATGTGGATAAAAGTAGCATCCAGTTGATGGATGGACAGACAGCTGAGCTAGGGGAGGCATGGCAGGGGTCTCCTGAGAGAATGAAGCCTCGGGACTTGGCACCAGCTTGCTCTGTCCAGCCACAGCACATGCTGCTCTTGCACTCACTGAACAACTGTCGACGGTGCCCTGTGGGAARCCAGCACACACCATCCTGCTGCTGATCTGGACAGGGTAGAACTTTTTGCAGGCCTGGTCTCCRATCATGTTCACTGCTGCTTTTTGCAGATGCTTTGACATGAGACCTGAGGAGACAAGTATTGCTGTTACCTGGGTGAAGA